GTGCTGGGATTACAGGCATGAGCCACCGTGCCTGGCCACCGGTTGTTCTTAGTTAAGATGTTCACCTGACATGTAATGAAACTGTTAATCTATCTGATTTTCTTAGATGAGCCTGTGAGTTACTATGGGTATCGCTACTTAGTTTTTAAATTTTCTTTCTCCTAAACTGAAAAGCAGGGGTATATTTTCTGCTGATGAGATATTAATTATGATCATTGCTAGACAGTCAAGACTTAATTCTTTTTCTTTTTTTGAGACAGGGTCTCTCTCTGTCACCCAGGCTGGAGTGCGGTGGCACAATCACAGCTCACTGCAGCTTCCAACTCATGGGCACAAGGGACTTTCCCACCTCAGCCTCCTGAGTAGCTGGGACTACAGGTTCTTGCCACCATGCCTGGCTAGTTAATTTTTTTTTTTTTTTTTTTTGGTAGAGATAGGATCTCCCTACATTGCCCACACTGGTCTTGATCTCCTGAGCTCAAGCAATCCTCACACCTTGGCCTCTCAAAGTTCTGGGATTATAGGCATGAGCCACACCACATTAGATCACGACTTAATTCTTAATCCTATTTTGTTACCTTCAATACCACCTGAAATTGAAACAAATACTCAGGCACAGACATACAAACAAAAAAGCCTGGCTTTTGTTTTGTTTTGTTTTTTAGTGGCAGGGTCTCAGTCTGTCACCCAGGCTGGAATACAGTGGCGTTATCAGAGCTCACGGCAACCTTGAACTCCTGGGCTCAAGCAATCTTCTTGTCTTGTCCTCACAAAATGCTGAGATTACAGGCATGGGCCACCATGCCCAGCTTTTTTTAAAAAATGCCTTTTTTGGGTAAAAGCCAAATAAGACAGCCAAAGTCATGTATCACTACTGTGCTATGAAAATGAGTCTCAGTATTGCTTTAATATAAACATTCCTATGCAGAATTAAGTAATGCAAAGGGCCCTGTTCCAAAGCCAAAAGGAATCTGACTTTTGCATTATTTTTTAAAAATAATTAAGATTGGAGTTATTTTTAAATTCTTATTCTAAAAATAGAGAAGAGAAATTGCCTAAAAAATACAGCAGTGGATAAAAGAAGAGAGATTGAAATTTGAAATGGATTTTGGAAGTTAAGTGTGCATTAAAGGAGAGAGATCAGTTTGTAAGGGATTATCCCTGGGCCTAATTGTCTGAGGACATGCAGCCTTGTAGGAAATGGGTAGGACAGAGAGGCTGTGTTAGAATGCCTGTGCAGGAGGAGAGTGGAAGGTTCTGGAAGACAAGGGAGGTTGCTTGTGTTTCTTTTGAATCCCCACTAAATGTAATTTTTCTTGTGGAGACATTGGTATATGGACACAGTGCTCAGCAGAGTGCTGACGTCTGGGGGAAATGGTCAAAAACTGAAAACTTACCTTGGCAGTCTGAGGACAAAGCCACAAAACCATAAATTGTTTGGGGGCTTTCTTCAGCTTCACATCTACCAGAGCTTCTTACCTTTAGAGTTTTCTTATCTACCAAAGGACAAGGTTGCAGTGGTTATCATTGCCGTGAAAGCTCCCCAAATCTAATTTGCTCTTATTCTTCCCCCAGTCTTTCTCCTACAATTAAAAATGATGAGCTGTTTCTGGATTCCGAGTCAGGAAGTTTTCATTTCTGTATAATTCTGCCACTGATGTATTTTGCAGTTTTCTCTGGGTATATGCCATTAAAGGAAATTTGGACTGCAATTTGGCTGCTTCTTAGGAGAGCAGACAGAGTATCATACCATTTTGTTTTTTCTAGTTGCAGCTTTTCATTTATGAAAGCAAAGCTTTGAGTTTGTGCAGTTCTGACATAATTCTTGCTCTTCTGCAGACACATGAGGTGAGCAGTACTGTAGAGCAAGTTTTGGAATATATTTGGAATATATTTGGTCTAGCAGTGAAAAATGACCAGTGCTATGATGACATCTGGGTTTCTCGTGTGACCTGGGATAGTTCCTTTTGTGCTGTCAATCCCAGATTTGTTGCCATAATCACACAAGTGAGTGTGGGAGGAGTGTTCCTTGTGCTTCCTCTGCACTAGATAAGAAATTTGACCTTCCATTCTGTTAGACACCTTCTGGTAATCTCTCTATTTTTTTTCAAAATTGATTGACTTTAGAGATTGACCACTCACCAAGTATTGTTGGATTGATGGGGCCATTAAATTCTGATGTAGGTGAGGTTGAGTTCCACATGACTTGCTAAACTCATTCGTTTTTCTCTAGCAGGAAATCATTAGATAATGATGACATCTGTTCTGGGTGTGCCCTCTATGGATGAAAAAGATTACCATAATGATGTTGTGAGCACAGGTAGGCAGAGGAATTGTACAATTTAATCCAGAATCATCCATTTTTCATAAAAGAGGAATGCAGTTTTAAAACAGTTCCGTTTGTGCTCCAAAGTAAAGTTGTAAAAACAATTATATTTTTAATTGGGTGGAAATTTGTGAGATAATGTTCTCTTTCTTATGAAGTCATGAAGGTTGAGACTTCTGGTTCTTTTCCAATAGCAAATGAGATGAGAGCACAAGAAAGTATTTCAAAACAAATACAGATTTCAAGTCTGAACATAGGATTCAGCATAGGATTTACTAAATAGTATTAACAAGTGGCAGAAATAAATGGTCTTTACTGAAAGTGGTTCTGTGGGTTCTTCAACCTCAGTGGGCTTCCAAGCCTTCCTCCTTCCTTCCTTTATCCTCCCAGAGAGCCTGCTCCAAGGTGGGAGATTAGATAGGAATTCTGAGCATTTGCTGACCAATCATGAATACTGCAGATCAAAATCTGCACTTATTTTATTAGCAAATTCTGGAATTGCGAGTAATGAAGAAAAAAAAAAGCTATGAAGAGGGCTTAGAAACAGTTGTTTTTCTAGTTAGCTGATGTGATTTGGATTAGTGTCCCTGTCTAAATCTCATGTCGAATTGTGATCCCCAGTGTTGGAGGAGAGACCTGGTGGGAGGAGATTGGATGGTGGGGTGGATTTCCCCCTTGCTGTTCTTGCGATAGTGAGTTCTCACGAGATCTGGTTGTTTAAAAGTGTGTAGCACCTCCCCCTTCTCTCTCTTTCTCCTGCTCCTGCCATGTGGGACAACCCTGCTTCCCTTTTACCTTCCACCATATTGTAAGTTTCCTGAGGCCTCCCCAGCCATGCTTCCTGTACAGCCTGTAGAATCATGAGCCTATTAAACCTCTTTTCTTTATAAATTACCCAGTCTGGGGTAGCTCCTTATAGCAATGTCAGAATAGACTGATACATTAGCTTTTAGGAGAAATATGAGTTTGGCGAGTCCTGAGCTCCCATGACAAGGACTCAGTGCTGGTGAGGATGCAGATGTTAAGTTGCACGACAGCTGTTTCCACTCTGCTTAAAAACACTCAGCTCCCTCCTGAGCCTGAGCTCCATATATTAAGGGTACATCTCATCATCATGGACCATGTGATTCTGAGAGTGGTTACAGTGAAGTGAATTTCTGTTCAAGGATTGTTTCCCATTGAATTTTTTTTCTTTTAATTCTCCTTTTATTTTGGAAAATCTTGACCATACAAAAGTGGAAATAGTATAATGAGCCCCCACGTACCATTAATCAGCTTCAACACTATCAAGTCCAGTGTTTCCTTTCTCTGCCACTTCCAATTCAATTACTCTGAAGTAAATCCCACACATATCACTTCATTCATAATTAAGTTATGTACCCCTAGAAGGCAAATTCTTTCCTTTTATTTATCAATTTGAAAATAATGAATCTGTTTCCAAGTATCCTACAAAGATGATTACTGAGTTTTTTAAATAATTATTTTGAACCCATTAGACATATCTGATGCAGTTAGTGTCCTTGTGGATGTGCAAACTGTCCATCTTTTGCCAACAGGAGCCTTTTCATGTTGCTTGAGTTCTTCTGACATGGCCCTAGTAATCCTGGTGAGCTTCCTTAATCTTTGATAAGACCATGTTGATGTGACCATGTTCCCACATTATTTGAACATTTCCTGACCCAGTTCTAGAATCAACCACCTCTCCAAAGAGCCTGAAGTTCCTTTTAGAGAGAAATGGTATGTAGACACAATCAACATGATCTTCCTCCCATGCCCAACACCTCAGTTCTCAGTAACACCAACATAATTACTCATTTGCTTTATCCACCAATACACACACAACCATCTCCAAATAACAGCAACAGTCTAGTAATAACATGTTTATTGAAAACCCTAACACTGTTATGTTCTTTTCATTCTCAGGGTATATTCCACTAGAGATTTACTGCCCTATGTTTTGAAGTCACCTAGAAGAGTTCTTAGTGTGGTCATATGACTACATCAGGAGTTTTTCACTTTTGATGGTTAGGGACTGCTTCTTAAAACTTATTTTACAACTGATTTTACTATCTTAAAATACAGAGTTCCGAAGTCACATTTACACAAACAAGGCATATTTGAAGTCCAGTTTTCATCCTTGATCCTCCTACTCTAGGCTCCTCCTTCTCCTAAAGGAAAGCATTTTCATTCCTTACCCTTTTCAACATATGGGTATGAACACACGTGTGGCCCCTTCCAGAAGTCCTCAGTGATGTCACATGTTCCCATGACACCTGTATTGTACTCTCATCAGTCATCACATGGAATTTATCTTCTCTAAGTATTATTTGGGCTCCTCCACGAGACTGTGAGCATCTGACCACTGGAGGGTCGCTTCCCATTATATCCCTATTATCAAGCACAAGGTCAGGCATAGAGTAAGACTCAAACACGTTTTGGAATATATGACCGGTATGAACTAGAAACCAGTAAGCTGACGTTTTCATTTTGAGTCTATAAATCTAATTTTGTAGTGGTTTTGTGTATGGTTCAAGGCTCAAATTGTAAAACTTAACATTATGTGACCAAAGCAAGATATACCCAGAACCTCAATTTCCTCACCTTCAAAATGGGGCAGAGTTTCTGACTTACTGGTCTACTCTCAGGATTTTAATGAGCTCATGCATAAACAGTCCTTTATATAAGGTAAGTGCTGGATAAATGTTGGCTACTGTAATAAAATAAGCCTCTAAGATACTTGGTCAGCACAGGCACTACCCAAGAGTACGCACTGTAGAGAAACTGACAAAATTGTGTATCTAAAACTGGCCAGATGAAAGAGACACTACTAAGGGGCCCTTCTGCCTGACACGGTGCTAGGCACTCACACTATCCCGACCTGAGAAACTGATCTGGGACCCAGAGGAACTTACCAAGCCTCCAGCATCTTGTGTAGCCCTATTCGTGGGACCACTTGGATACCCCACCCCCTTGTCTTTATAGGGAGCAGAACACACATGATATATGTTAGCAAACAAAGTCCAGGAAGTATAGTTTTGCCTGAGGCAATATCTGAAAATTGTAGGCTCCAGCCTCCAAAGTGAGTCTTCCTCTCAGTACCTCTCTTCTAGACACATGGAGACCTTTCTTCCCAGCATGAAGTTGAACCACTTAATGAATGAAGTCCTGGACCTGCTTAACCACGCTCCCTATAATCTCTGAATAATCTCCCTTTTCCACAACCTCAGGCATAATCTCATCTTCTGTTTCTATTACAATTTCAAATTCTGGAAAAAGGAAGTTGTGGTCTGGAGTTGTAAAGTTCAGATGATCTGGTTGTGCATAAGCCTGCTTATGTCCCAATCTCCGGTCTAGGGTCTGATGCGCCTTGCCGCAGTAATACGCTTTGTGGCATTTAGAGCAAGTTTTGGGGCCTAAACAGCCACAAAACCTGCAGAGATGAGCACCAGACTTAAGTTGGAGATACACCGATTCTCCTGTTTCTGGGGGAGGATTCTCAGAAGGTGGCTCATATGAATAAAAATCATTTTTCCTGGGTAGCTGATTCCTAGAAACTCGTAGGCTGGCATAGCACGGCGGCTTGCGGCAGCAGAAGCGGAAGATGCCGCAGTGGAAGGAGTAGGCGTGGCCTGCCGGGGGCTCATACACCTGCCGCAGGAAGGAGAGTGGACGGCAGCACAGCGCGCAGGCCAGCTGGGCGGCGCCCAGTCACGCCGGCCGCCCGCCCGCCCCCCTGCTGGGGAACTGCTCGCTGCGCGGCAGCCAAGCCGGCGCCGACTCAGCAAAGGCCAGCTCCACAGATCCCGCCCGGGCGGCAGCCATGTGGGGCGTGGGCTGGCGTGGGGAGCAGCCCATAGGTAGGTCTCCCATTGAATTTTGATGTGTTTTTCTTTGGAAAACTTTCAACTCTGTTGAATTTTTCTCTCCAAGATACTCCAAGTATATTTTCACCTGTGAGGCAATATCTGAAAATTGTAGGCTACAGCCTCCAAAGTGAGTCTTCCTCTCAGTACCTCTCTTTTAGTCATTGAGCCCTTTCTTTAAACTCTGATTTTTACTTTCTTGACTGAGTTGTTACAACATGACACAATAAAACCATCTTGTTACAGAAATTGGGAAAAGGATGTTTTGGGGAACAGGTTTGATACGTTTCCCATGCACCTTCTTATTGGCAATGTTGATGATCAAAATGCAAGAAACTTTTAATTAATTTGAATTTTATTTTCCACTCGGATTCTTTAATACTTCTGCTGAAGGAATTGCTAAGAGGCCAATTAGTACAGTAGACTATTATAAGTGAACTTGATGATTTTGGAGTAGGCTTTGAACTTAATGACAATAGCATTCCATTATTTTTTAGTTAATTCATTCAATGAGAGCAAAGGACATTTAGAAACTTGGTATTTTCATGTTGAGCTTTATGGTGAACAGCTAAGACAGCCACAGCTTGTCAATCAAGATCAGACACTAGAACGCCATTATCTGTTTTGGAGTTAAGTTTTTATTCCCCTGTTAATAGACTGAAGGATAAATTTAAGGCACTTTTTTCTTAAAAGAAATGGAGCAATTTAGTTAAAACAATCAAAATAAACTTTTGAATGGCTAATCTTCATCTGAGATCAGACAGTTCCCTTCAACTTCCAAATTCACAAAGGCTCTGTGAGTGTGTCTTTGCATTTGCAAAAAGCCATGGGAAACTTTGAGTTTCACTTTTACCATCTAACGGAGACCTGTGTGCAGTTCTTATCTAACTGGATCTTATTATTTGGTTTATATTTCTATTAAGCGACTGCCACTTCATGTACATGTATACATATGTACATATATATTTAATTGCCTTTCAGAATTAGTATAGACTATATTACTTTACAAATTATTATGTGTACCTGAAGTGTTGCTTTTTGGAGGAGTCTCAAGGATTTTTCTCAGACTATCATACTGTTTGTGTGGCTTTGCTCATTAAATATTTATTTGTTTTGGAGGAAGTGACATTGGTGTAAACTAAGACCTGTGACAACCATTAGAAATAAGGTTACTGCTTGGGGTTATTTTTTTTACTGTGGCAAAATTTGGTGGAATTGTAACACTTGTGAATTAGACTAGAATCTGGCTTATCTTCTGTACCCAAGACCTGTTGTTAATTACTTGGGTGATGTCAGGCAAATTACCAGAGATCTTTATGCCTGTCCAACACTTGTGAATGCGCACTTTACAGGCTGAGTATGAACTTTTTACCCTTATTTTAGTTAAAATATCATGAATTTTATCTTCCTTTTCCTGCAAACAGCCCTCCATTCTGAATCTTTGCTGCATGAGGAGACACTGCCCCCTACAGGAACTAGATAGTATAATATCTGCCCCTGGTGTGTCCGGAATTGGTTCCTTCTGGTGGGCTCTTGGTCTTGCTGACTTCAAGAATAAAGCTGTGGACCCTGGCTGTGAGTGTTACACTTCTAAAAGACAATGTGTCCAGAGTTTGTTCCTTCAGATGTTCAGGTGTGTCTGGAGTTTCTTCCTTTGGGTGGGTTCGTGGTCTTGCTGACTTCAGGAGTGAAGCTGCAGACCTTTGCAGTGAGTGTTACAGCTCTTAAAGGTAGTGTGGACCCCAAGAGTGAGCAGCAGCAAGATTTATTGTGAAGAGTGAAAGAACAAAGCTTCCACAGCGTGGAAGGTAACCCGAGCAGATTGCCATTGCTGGCTCCCAGGTGGCCAGCTTTTATTCCCTTATTTGGCTGCACACATGTCCTGCTGATTGGTCCATTTTACAGGGTGCCAATTGGTCCATTTTACAGAGTGCTGATTGGTTCATTTTACAGAGTGCTGATTGGTGCGTTTACAAACGTTTAGCTAGACACAGAGCGCTGATTGGTGCATTTTTACAGAGTGCTGATTGGTGCGTTTACAAACCTTTAGCAAGACACAGAGCGCTGATTGGTGTGTTTTTACAGAGTGCTGATTGGTGAGTTTATAAATCTTTAGCTAGACACAGTGCTAATTGGTGCATTTTTACAGAGTGCTGATTGGTGTGTTTACAAACCTTTAGCTAGACACAGAGTGCTGATTGGTGTGTTTTTACAGAGTGCTGATTGGTGAGTTTATAAATCTTTAGCTAGACACAGTGCTAATTGGTGCATTTTTACAGAGTGCTGATTGGTGTGTTTACAAACCTTTAGCTAGACACAGAGTGCTGATTGGTGCATTTACAATCCTCTAGTTAGAAAAGTTCTCCACGTTCCCCACTCCACCCAGAAAATCCAGCTGGCTTCACCTCTCACTGGGATCAGGAGGTGCTGGCTGCCTGGGGTCAGGGATAGGAAGCTTGGGCTGAGCCTGAGGGGTCCTGGAGGCTGAGACTAACTCTTTATTTTCTAAAAGAAATGGCAAATACAACCATTATTTGTTGTTTTTCTCCTTTATTATGTAAGCATTGAATGTTCATAGTAGAAAGTGTGGAAATTGCAGATGCACTAAATGAACTAAATGGAACCATTCCATAAAAATAATCCCCAAACCCAGGGGCCCTGACCATTTGTATGTGAGTAGGCCTCCTTCATGTCTTATGTCTACATGAGCTCCCTCCTCATTATCCCATAGGAAAGAGAGAATGAGTCCTTAAAAAGTTGTTCACGGGGTAAGGGTTTCTCTCAACTTCATTTTGAATTGCAAAGGGGAGTTTAGAGAAGACGCTTGGGCCTTAAAGGACCTCCATTAACATGAATATTGGGACCTAAAGAGGTGTCCCAGGAAACCAGGAAAACAAGTGGTAAAGAAATCGGACTCAGACTTCTCAATTATTCCTTGGAAGATGGCCTCACACTTACAAGCATGGATGGGGATGTATACAGTGTTTTTACAGTTACTTAAAAGAAGAATCTCACATTGACATTGTGGAGGTTTCACAGTTAAAGGATTAATTTAAAAATGTCCTAATGCCACATGAATCCCTCGCCGTGGTCAAGCGTTTCCTGATTCAAGGCTTCTGTTTCTCCCTCCGCTGAGACGAAAGAAAAGATGTGAAGCCCTGGAAAACTGGCTTTGAAGATGCCAAACTCGCTTTAGAGAAGAGAAAGGCATTGCTGTCGGAGATGCTTGTGAAGAATTTGAGTTAAAAAATTGTTTTCTAAACAAATACCGCATGTTCTCACTTATAAGTGGGAGCTAAACATGGAGCATCCGTGGACATAAACATGGCAACAATGGATACTGCAGACTACTAGAGTGCGGAGGGAGGGAGGGAAGGAGGGGGATGGGGATTGAAAAAGCACCAGTTGGGTACTAGGCTCACTACCTGGGTGCCATGTACCCATGTCACAATCTGCACATATGCCCCCTGTATCTAAAATAAAAGTTGAAATTAAAAATAAATAAATAAATACAAGATTGGCTGTCTCTGTAAAAAAACTAAATTGTTTTCCGGCTGGGTGCGGTGGCTCACGCCTGTAATCCCAGCACTTTGGGAGGCCGAGGCAGGTGGATCATCTGAGGTCAGGAGTTCGAGACCAGCCTGGCCAACATGATGAAACCCCATCTCTACTAAAAATACAAAAATTGGCTGGTGTGGTGGCATGTGCCTGTAATCCCAGCTACTTGGGAAGCTGAGGCAGGAGAATTGCTTGACCCCAGGAGGTGGAGGTTGCAGTGAGCTGAGGTCACTACACTGCACTCCAGCCTGGGCAAGAGAGTGAAACTCTGCCTCAAAAAAAAAAAAAAAAAAAGGTTTCTAATGTGAAAGGAACCAGCAATACTCATAAAATATATCATATAGATAGATAGTTGCATCTAAACTGATATTATAAGTACATATTTGTTTTTCCCTAAAAGCTTTTATAATCATGACAACCCCAGCATTTCTGTTCACTCACTGGGACATTTTTTTTTTTTTTTTTTTTTTTTGCATTGGGAAAATTGACTTGGGCATTAGTAGTATGTATATTCCAATGTAATTCCCATTGACTTGGACATTAGTGGTATGTATATTCATATTTTTAAAAACCTGGAGTATTTTATACATGCTCTTTGATAATCTATTTTTAAACAATGTGTTTTAGATATGTTAGTATACTTTTATGATGATCCATTTCCACTTAATGAATAGTAAATATATTTTTTCTTCCTTATGATTTTAACGTTTTCTTTTTTCTAGCTTACTTTATTGTAAGAATACAGTATGTAATACATATAACATACAAAATATGTGTTAATCCATTATTTATATTATCAATAGGCTTCCAGTCAATAGTAGGCTATTAGCTGTTATGTTTCCAAAAATGTAGTCAAAAGTTATATGAGGATTTTCAGCTGCACGGGGTGTCGGTGCTCCAGCCCCTGCACTGTGCTAGGTCAATCTTATATCTGTGTCATAGCTTCTATGATCTATACAGTATAAGAATATCTCGTATTGTGGTTTTGTTTTTGCTTTTGTTTTAAGAGACAGGGTGTTGCTCTGTCACACAATCTGAAGTGCGGTGGCACCATCATAGCTCACTGAAACCCCAAACTCCTGGGCTGAAGTGATCTTCCCACTTCAGCCTCCTGAGTAGCTAGAACTACGAGGGTGTGCCACCATGCCTGAATAATTAAAAAAAATTTTTTTTTTTTGTAGAGACAGGGTCTTGCCGTGTTGCCCAGGCTGTTCTCAGACTCCTGGCCTCAAGTAATCTTCCTACCTCGGCCTCCCAAAGCACTGGGATTACAGGTGTGAACCATCCATGCCTGGCCCAATAATTGTATACTCAAAATTATTGAATGCTTTTCTTATTTCTTTTATCTCCTCTGTGTGTGTGTGTGTGTGTGTGTGTGTGTGTGTGTGTGTGTGTGTGTGT